TCGACCGAGCGAGTCTATCTACCGGTCATACGCGCTCCTCTTCGGCGGACACTTGGGTCACGCCACTGATCGGGAAAGCTAGGAGCTCTCAGCAATTCCCCGATCCGTCCAACTTCTTTCCACTATCGCACCCACTCGTGCCTCGAAGGTACAATAGTGTGGGGGCTGGGGTGAAGGAAGTATCTGCAGGCCCGTCGCTCGGGAGAAACCCGACCGTAGAGGCTTACTCATGTTCAAAATTTCGACAAGGCCTGAAGATCGGGTAAACCCGATCAGGTTGGTCAGTTTGACGTCGAAGATATGGATGCACGACCGGGCCATAAGGCCGTAAGGTCGGCTGTCGAACGAGTCGAGTAGTGCATGACCGGGCCAAAAGGCCATAGGGTCGAGCATTTAAGGTCGGCACGTGCATAACTAAAATAGAAGTGCGGAAAAGAGAGACAAACGACACAAGTTAAACAAAAAACGAGTTTTATTGACTGAAAAGAGTGCCCGGTACAAAATCGGGACCGGGCTCCCGACTAGCGTCACTTACAAAAAGAAGTAAAATTTAAACCTATTCTACTTCTTCGCCTCGGCATCGCCCTTCTTCGGCAAATCCGCTCCGCTCGGGGTAGCCACGACTTCGCTCGCCTTGGGTTGTTCTTTCGGCTCGAACGGTGCAGGCCCCGGGTCGGGTATGTCGTCGGGAAGCGTAGTCAAAACCAGTTGAAGATCATCCCCGTCGAGGGCTTGTTCCATGATCTTCCGCGTCTGGTCGCGCATCTTCCGTTGGCCGGCTTTGTACGCCCACCGGCCAAACGTCCATACAAGCTTCTCTCCGATCTCTGTGCCCCGAACGGATCGAAGAAAACGAGTGCCCGACTCGTTGTCCCGGAAGAGATGTCGGGCGAGTTTGTCCGAGTCGTTTTGACGAGCCTTTAGCTCGGCCACTTCCCCGATCGCCTGCTGGGCGACCTGCTCCGAGAGATCCCGCTTGGCTTTAACCTTTTTGAGCTCGGCCTCCAGGTCCCGGATCTCCTGTAGTCGCCGGTTGGCGACTTTCTTCAAGGCCTCGGCTTCGTTGGCCTGTAAGGCCCGCTGTTGAAGAAGTTGGGCCGCTCGGGAGATCTGCAGTGCACAAAACGATCAAGTTAGCCGAGTGGAGTTACTTTAGAGAAAACTTGAAAGAAGAAAACATGTTTACCTCAGCCAAGTCATGACCGATTTTCTCGGCTACCTGGCTCGGGGTCAGCTTAGAAATGTCCTCCTTGGCCGACCGGGCGTTCCCGATCCGGGCGAGGATCGAAGATCCGCCTTTGCTGCCCCCGCCTGAGGGCGTTGGGCTGTGCTGCTCACGGCGCCGTTTCAGGGCCCCGGTCTCGGAGACGTTCTTCTCCGTCATCTTCTCCTTGCCCTTCCCGACCGCCACTCGGGCGACCAGGACCTCCGAGGCGTCCACCACGTAGACTTCAGCCGTGGTGACGGTCGATGCCCCTATGGGTCGGGCGACTGGGATCTCCTTTTCCCCGGCCGGTTTGGCCTGGGCTTTCTTCTTGCCAAGTGAAATCTTGGCCACCGGGCGCAGTGGGATGTCTTCATCTCCAAAACCGGCCATCTCTGCAAACAAAAGAAAGGGTTAGATCGAGTTAAAGGCCCGGTCGGGCTATTAAGGTCGGAAAAGAAGGTTAATGTTGAACCTTTGCCCTTTCGTTTTCCCCGGGCGGGCATCCTTGCGATCGTAACGCCCCGGGGTTCGGGCTTGTACTTCTCGGGCATATCGTATACGGGCTCGGGCAAGTTGGCCGCTTCGAGGGACTCGGGCGTCTTGAAGATTTGATATTCGTAAATCTCGCCCGAGATTTTGGTAACGGCGTCTATAAGGGCCTGAGTCTCGGGTGGGATAACTTGTTTTCGGAAACGCTGACTCCAGACCCTCTCGACCGGGAGGATCCATGGATCATATTTCACTGAAAAGATCCGGTTTCTCCACCCCCGGTTATTCCCGGGCAGCCCCTCAATCGAGCACTTGTCTGCTCGGGACTGAGTCATCAGGAATCCACCACCGTACGCGGCTGCCAACACCTTCACCTGGTAAACGAAGTTGAACAACTCCACGGTGCAGGCTAAGTTGTGCCGACTGCAGATCTGGGGAAAGCACGCGATTATCCGGTGCGCGTTCGGGCAGATCTGTCCGGGCATAACCTGGTAGTAGCCCAGGAATGCGGTGAGGAGGCTCGAGAAAGGGAAAGTGATCGGGGCCATGAGGGAGTCGTAGTGCATCCCGAGCCACTTTCCCCGGTGTCGCTCGATGACGTTCCCGAGCTGCCTGCTGGTGTCGAACTCGACCCGACCGGCAAGAGTTGCAGCAATTCTGCTTGCTTCTCCTTTTGTTAGCAAACTCTTTTGGCCCTCGACGCTTTCGCTGTTGAGGAACTCAAACCCGTCCCCGCTTGGCGCCGCCGGCCCGGCCGGGTCTTCCTCGACCGCTTCTGCTTCGCCTGCCCGATTGCCCTCTTGGGGCTCGGTTTGAGGGTAATCCGATCCCCTATTACCCTCGTAGGCGTTCCCCTGGCATCTTCAGCCGGGGAATTTCGTCCGCTCGTGGACGTGTCGTCGCTCCCCGACCCGCTGGAGCTCGATCCCGATCTCCCCGATGAGCTTGACGACCATGCTGGCTCGGGGGCTCGGTCGGGGATCTGTTGTGGTCGTTGCTCGACCTCCGGAGAGTAGGACATGATGTCCACCTCCTCGCTGCTCTGCTCGATCGTGTTGTCGTAGTCTGCGACGGAGACGTTCTGGCTATCTGAGTCCGACATATTTTTCTACCTAAAGGTCGGTCGGGGTTAGTACAGGGTTCGGGAAGTTAGATCGGAGTTAGTTCTACTCTACTCCTACGCAAAGCTAAAAATAAAGCAAAAGATAAGGAGTAGAGAGCTTACCGATTGAAGGTACTTTGGGAAAAGCTTGAAGCCTGGTTTGCTCGACTGGTTCGCTGAACTGCTGCTCGGGACTCTCTGAGGGTACCGATCGCTTCAATGGATTGAGGAAAGTTCAAATGAAGGCCTCAAGGGCCTATTTATAGGAGAGCATTTAGGCGGGAAACGAGTCCACTTGCGTGACACGACCCGCACTGATTCCAAGGCGACCGTTGCAGTCGCAGAGGCCGGCAGTGGCCGACACGTGGCGAGGGAAGGAATGACAGCTGGCTGGTCGGTTCGGTGGCTGACGGTTGGGCTTCTTCATCCCGTCCCGTTTTTTCCCGGACGGTCAAAAAGGCCCGGGCTGGGGGGCTCTTGGTAGGGAATATCCCGACCGACATTATTTTACCCCGGTTGGTATGCCTTTGTCTTTTTCTTCTTGTCTTTGCAAGTAACAGGTCGGGCTTCTTGTGAGGAACCCGGTCGGGACCTGACCGGGAGTTGCCCGACCGATAGTGTCGACCACCGAGCGGTAGCCCTTTGGCGCGAGAGCTGACAAATGACACGTGGCGGTTCCTTGCGACGACAGACAGGCCACCCGGGAGGATGACACGTTGTGGCTACGTGGAGAGCATGCCGAACGACCGGATTTGTGTCCCCGGCGCAGCGGCTATAAATACCCACGGTAGCTACAGTGTGAGGGACTTTTGGACGATCGATAGGTTGTTGTTAGAGAATCCCGACCGCAGTCAGTCGGCACTCAGAGCAACCAAGTAGATTGTACTTAGGGCCTTCACCGTGATCAATAAAAATATTTACTTGCTTTAATTGGTCTCGGGTTTATTTAATTATTGCTACGTAGAATTAGCAGTATCAATTTGGATGTGTTATTTGATTGAATGTTGAAAACAGCCTTATTAAAATTGTCAAACTTCAAGTCTTCCACTATTTTTTTTTGCGTCCGCCTAGCGCCGCCTAGATTCCGGCTAGGCACCTCCTAGTCCGCCTAGGCGCAAGGCGCTGCCCGGGCGCCCGACTAGCGCCTACTGCAACCATGATAAAAATACAAAGCTGAATGCACATTCCGAAACATATATATAAAAACCTTACCTTCATTACTTGTAGCCATAGCAACAGCTCCTTCGAAGAGTGCTTCTTCTCTGCTTTGTGGACTGGGTGCTCTTCGCTCTCTATGGAGATGGTGTCGTCAAGCTGGTTGAGTTCGCAGTTGGCATTCGTCTTCGTCTCTCCGTCGTGAATTCGTCTTCGCAGATTAGGGCTAACCAATTTAGGAGAAATTGAATGTGGGGGAAACAAGTCTCCGCGTAATGGGAGATCGATTTGGTTTCGTCAATCTCTAATGGGAAATGACATGTTTGCCCTCAGCCCTTAATGTCCAATTGACAAAAATCTTAACGGAGGACCACGTGTGGTTATTTTAGAAAAGACGAAGGACTACTTGTGGTCATTTTAAAGTCAGATGACCAGGGCGGGTATATCGTTAATATTTAGAGGACCAATGAATGTATTAACTCTTTTTAAATTGTTCAAGCACTTCTTATCTATGAATTCCTTTTTGCGTCAAAAAATTTGCTTCAGCCTTAAATATATAGGGCCCTATTTGATAACATAGTTAACTTATCAACCAAGTTTAGTTTATTTGACTTAGTTAAATGATCAATATGAGTGTTTAATTAATTAACTTTTTGCAACAACTTATTTCTCTAAAATGTTAAAATTCAAAGCGCCTCCACTGAAACTCAAACTCACAACCACCCATGTGAGAGTTCAACTTGGTACCATTAGACCATAAGGTTCTTGGTGTAATCAACTATCAACTATTAATTAAAAATCAATTTACCAAACACTTTTCTATAATCAACTAATGCTATCAACTAGTCAAGCTCTCTAACCCAATCAGCTAACAACTATTTACCAAACACTCCATTCAATGCTACAATTTCTGATATTTGTGGCTAACAGTAAAACCATCCGAAAGAAGATTAATGGTATTATTTCATCATTTATTGTTTTAAACAGTTCCGCACGGTTTGCTTTGGACGCAATTAAAAAAAAAAAACAAAAAAAAACAAAAAAAAAAAAACAAAAAACAATAATACTCTAATGTAACAATAAACGGTATTTTTCTATGTGAGAGGAAATATTACAATTCAGCCTGCACGAATTACGTATTACACATCAACAGGCCATTCAAACCTCAAAAAATTGAGGATATCATTACAAAAAAATTGAGCCAACGCTGATCATGCACATCCAGGGCAAAATAATAGTGTGTAATCTTGACAATTATCGGCACCCAACATACTTGTAGTCAAAGACAACCCAACCCAACCCGATAGGACCTGTGAATCTTGGTTTTGTTAGCTGTAACAATTTTGGGAGGATTAGCACCGACTTGGGGAGAATCAGCTATTTTACTTGCATTTACGTCTGCATCTTGGTTTGCACTTGATTCATCAGATTCAACAATGAACTGAAGCCCCTGTATAGAAGCTGATTATCAGACCAAGTCCATAAAATGGATAACAATTTGGTTAAGTACAAGTCAGGCAGCATACCTTTACTGAATTTTCTATAGGTAACAATTTTGAATGCTGTATTAACTTAGCACCAACATCCTATCCACAACAACCAAAATAATTTTAATTAGCAGATAGGAATGAGAATGTGAAGGGGATGAATAGGACATTTGCCACTCGAACAGACCAATAAGAGTGTGTGTGTGTTTATTTTATTTTATTTTTTAAAAAATAAAATGTGATTTAAAGTATCAAAGACTGTTAATGAACCCAAAGTTGAGAGCTGCTCCAGTTTTAAGAGTAAGTAGCTTAACTCAATACCACAAAATCAATCTTTAACAGTATGATGAAAGCATAAACAGCAGAATCATGTAATCATAAATAACTTAGTCTTCATAATCATGCAAAAAAAAAAAAAAAAGGATGGATATGGTATTAGCAGCCAGGGAGCCTAAGCGTTCATCTGTCAACTTTACCCTTTTAGGTCAAGGTTTCATGTCCTGAGAGCAATATATATATATATATATATATATATATATATATATATATATATATATATATATATATATATATATATATATATATATATATATATAAATAAAATTTAAAAAAAAAAAAAAAAAATGAATGTCAACTTGGTCCTCTAAGTCAACTGGATAGTGCAATTGGGTTTCCTAAGTAAAAAAAAAAAAGCTCATTCAAGTCTCCTAAACCGGTAAAATTGTTCAATCAATTAAGTCTAAATTGACTTGATTATCAGGTTAAATCAATACGGTGTTGACACCTGTCCTTTTTATTTTCTTTTTTTAAACAATTTTTTTATTGATTAAAAATAACAAATATTATTTATAAAATTTATTTTAAAAAAAAAACAGCCACCGGCTGTCCGCGCTAGCTGTCCAAAGAGGGCAGCCACGGCCGTCTAAGGAAGACATCCATGGCCACCTAAGGAAGACGGCCATGGCCGTTTTCCAGATGGCCATGGCGGACAGCCGGTGGCTTTTTTTTTTATATATTATTTATAAATAATATTTGTAACTTTTAATAAATACAAAGTAAAAAATAATTTTTTTTAAATAAAATAAAAAAGACACGTGTCAACACCGTATAGATTTAACCTGATAAACAAGTCAATTTGGACTTAATTGAACAATTTTACCGATTTAGGGGACTTGAATGGAGGTTTTTTTTTACTTAGGGGACCCAATTGCACTATCCAGTTGACTTAGGGGGCCAATTTGACACTTTTTCCTAAAAAAAATACAAGGTTTAAAGTTTAAACATAAATCTTCTTTCCCCAAAGAGAGTGTGATAAATAAGAGCCTTATGCACTAGGGTTGGCCTTTTCTCAATTTATACACGTTAAGTAATAACTTAAGGCCAAGTTAACAAAAATGAGGCTTACGTAGTTTTCCAAAGTTTCTAAAGTTTTTCTACTTATGTTAGGAAAGAAGAGGGCAACATGAATAAAGGTAAATGTTATTACCAATTACAACTTTACAAGAGGAATAGTTACCTCAATAAGCTTAGCATTCTGACCACTTTCAATCTCCCCAGCCACTTGGCACAAATACCACACACCAGAATTAGTGATATCCTGTAATCAGAAAACCATTGTGAAGATATCTTCTTTTTTAACTGGAATCTGGAAAATGTTCAATGATCAGGTGGAAGGGAAAGAGAACATTCTTGGTGCATATTTCAACATTTACCTGGTTATTCTCAAGAAGTTCAATTTTGCCTTCCTGCATATTTGATTAGTTGTTAATAGTATTTATACAAATAAACAATTTCCAAACAACCTTTATCGACTCAGAGAACCTTAAAATCTTTTAACACATGGTAACTCACCAATCCAGACACCATCTGATGAATTAAGTCAATGTCGTATCCAATTTGATTTAGATTTGACTTTACTTCCTTTACCTGCATGGGCATATATGCAATAGAAACAATTACTACCAGTAAATTTTGCTACTTCTACACTATTCTAATTTAGGTAAATAACATTCATCCAAAAATCCTAACAAAAGTAAATAAAAGCTACATGCTTCAAATATATGGAGGAGGTTCATAAAAGCTTCTAAACTACACTGTAGAGCATAATACTATAATACTGAAATATAAAAAATGAGGTAAGCAGAAATAAGAAAGGACCATATAGCAAAGTTCAGTGCCTAGCACAGAAAATAAATAAATAAATAAAAATAAAAATAAAAATAAAAAAATCCAATTGTAACCTTCACTCTCCTACTTCCAAAAGGCAGTTAAAGAAACCAAAAATTAAGAGTAGAAGTATGACATGCCACATCGTATAAAATGCAGTTATACACAGGTGTGTGTAGAGCAACAAATTCCTACATCATTTGCAATAAGCGTTGACATCTCCTTCTGCTCATCCAGCTTCCAATCCAAGTTTTCAAGCCTTTTTGACAGATGCCTCTTTGTAGACTGCATAAAGCAATAACAATATGAAGTAAAGTACCACAAAGCACAATATCATTACAAATTCTGTAGTCCACACTTACAGCCAATGCATCAGATACATTCTCTAACTGCTTTGAGACAGAAGCAACAGCATTTGCCATATTACTCTTTGTAACAAACATAACATCTGAGAATGACCAACCCTGTCAAAGAAATGCAAAAGCTAATTTATTTCCCACAACAATGGTGAATGTCAAATAAAATAGAGCATCTATAATTACAAGATTGAAATGGCTTAAACTGACTGTACTAAAGTCTTGCCTTCCACTTCATGTAACAATATCCCACTGCTCCAATTGCAGCAGCCGGAAGAAGGTAAGAAGCATAACTCCCTGCACAAAACCCCAAGAAAGTTTGGAAAACGTTTGTTTTGAATTTATGTAACTCTTTGTCCACGTGAGTGAATATGTAAACTCCTGCTCTTGTCTCAACTAGCTATGACAAAAAAGGGATTTGAGGATCCTTCTGATGCCCAGTTCATATGAACAAGAATATGTTGGTATTGCAGAATTCAACAACTGGATGGATAATGCAAAAAAGTCTATGCTTTGAAATTTCTATAAGAGTACTGTGAATATCTCAAATTTAACCAATAGGATTTCCTCATATGTTATAAGTCTAGGTTTCCTAATAAATTCAAAATCAATATATATTTCAGAGATGCAAGAGTAAATGAAGTCTGGCCTAAAACACAAACTTAGCAAAACCAGAGTAGACTCATCCTGTAACTTACTATCGGAAGAACCACTGTTGAAGATGGTTGCTGGACTTGTGATACTTATCTGCCTAATCTCTTGTGCCAACTGTCGAATCTGAAATCAAGGAGAGCAGGAGAGAGGAAGTGAATATACTATTCGTAATTCATGCAATTAAAGAAGTAGAATTGGTTACATAAGCTACTTCATTTACAACATTTTTTTATTAAGTGAAAATAGACCACTAGATTTTGAGAGAATTGAGATCAAATGCATGTATCCTTTACTCACAAAAGGAGTAAAATGATTACTAAACACCTTTCCACAACCAAAGTTCCCTTGTCCTTCTATCTAACTGATTTTCATGTGACATAATCTTTCACTTTGATGCCATCTTGCCTGCTGAATCTATAACAATCCCATGAGATGATAAAATATGAACATAGTACCTGAGCAGCTAGAAGAGCAGCATCATATTTCCCAGGTGATGTTTCGGCCTCATTTACACCTTTAATCAACTCCTGAAGCTGTGAAATTAAATCAGACAATCGTCCACTCCTTAATACTATTGACCCAGTCAAGCCTACAGAACAAATGAATGCATAAGAAAATAAATATTACAGAAAGATACCCCCTGAGGGCGAGGAAGGTACCTAAGAAAAATTTCACAAACAGAGAGGTAAGACAACTAAGTTCTACAATATATAATGATCGTATTCATAAACACACAATTTTGACACTGCTACACTCAGCTTGTAGTTTATAGAAGGTGTTCATAATTGTCATATTGGTTGAATATTCAGCTTAGGTTCAACAAGGTATATGCTGAAAAATTGAAATTTAGCAAAACACCCGCTGTATTATACACATAAACATCCCCAAGGCCCAAATTTATAACTTAAGATGATTGATTATTTTCCATCCAGCTGAATCTTAAGCAAAACCCTAAGTTTGACATCCTCTTCAATCTACTGCAACATTTTCTTCCTTTGATATTTTCTCTGCAACTAATTCAATAGAAAACCCAGAATACTCCTGACTAAAAATTACGGATATTAACCAAAAACAAATAATTAAAATCTAAATCACAAAAGAAAGCAATGCAGGAGCTCGTGCAAAGACAGAAGTTATTTTTTTTTATTATTTAGATTCTAGTAATTGGTTTTTTTTTTAATTATTATTTTGTTTCCGGCTAAATAACGGGAGGAATCACCTGCGCCGACCAATACGAGAACTTTGGAGGCAGCGACACCGGTCTGCATCGCCATGTCTGCGACTGCGTGTTTCTGAGACGCAATTCAGGAATAATAAAGGAGTTGAGTTCTGATTTTTTAATCCTCCGCTTACCTTCTTTTTATATGTGATGGTCTTTTTATAATAATAATAATAATAATAATTATTATTATTATTATTATTATTATTATTAAGAGCATCCTTATTTGTTTTAGTTTTTTCATGATTTTTGCAGTAAGACTATATCTCAATGTATTTGAGTTAGATTATGATTCTCAATTCAAGTTTTTCTAAGACTTTCTTGTTATATATACATGTAATCTGTACTATTGTAATTACTTCACTCAATACAATTGTATCAGTTCTCATATGGTATCAAAGGATTTCTTTCCGATGACTGATGGATCTGTTGCATCTTCGGAACGTACTGTCTCTAATTTTTCTATCTCTTCGGTCATATCGACCGTAAATTCCTTGTCCACCGCTCACCACTTTATCGGCATCAAACTGAGATACAAGAACTACATGTTTTGGAGAGCTCAAGTTGTTCCCTTTCTTGATAGTCATGATTTAATTGGGTTCATTGACAGTACGAACCCATGTCCGCCAGCTTTACTTTCCGACGGCGAAGACGACGCAGTGGCGCAACCCAACCCTGCCCACCGAGCTTGGGTTCGCCAGGATCAAACCCTATTATCCATGTTGATGTCGTCATTCTCCTATGAGGTCATGCCACTCGCCATCGGTCACCATACCAATCAGGCAGTTTGGACTGCTGCCGTCGGCGCCCTTGCGTCGTCCTCTCGGTCTCGTGTAGGGATGGCAGTGGGACGGGAAGGGGAATATATCCCTTGCCCCCGCACCCGCATTCCCAACTCATTCCCCGCACCCGAGCGGGTAATAAAATTCTTATCCCATACCCCGCCCCAGCGGAGATTTTGCGGATGCCAGTAATACCCAACCCGCAACTTTAATTATTAATATTACACTTAAATCTAATAAAAATGTTAGAGTTAATTACCAAAATGGTTCCTTGACTATAGCAAAATTACCAATTTGGTCCTTGACTATTTTTTTTAACCAATTAAGCCCCTCAACTTTAAAAATTTTAACCAATTTAATCCTCCGTTTGTTTGACCGTTAGTCAATCGTTAACTTGTGACCAAATTGGTAATTTCGCTATAGTCAAGGGACCATTTTGGTAATTAACTTTAGGGGTGGGCAATTCGGTTTAGTTTTATTGAATCGAACCGTATCGAACAACCGAACGGTATTGGATTCTTGTATACCGAACGGTTTGATAAAAAACCAATCCAAACCGATCCGAATTGTTCGGTAAAAAATTGAACTGAACCGAATACCGTTTGATTTTTAAAAAAAAATATATTTATAATAATAATAATAAATAAATAAATAAAAACTAAATCCAAGTGCGGGTGCGGGGTGGGGATACCTCCCCCGCACCCGCACTCGCACCCATACCCGCGCGGGTATACAAAATTCGCCACATACTCGCACCCATTACTCAAATTGTGCGGATATTTTAAAACCCATAGGGGCGGGGATGCGGGGAACCCATTGGGTGCTGGTAGAAATGCTATCCCTAGTCTCGTGACTTAAAGCTTCTTGGCCAGCTACATTCGCTTCACCAAGGAGATTCATCTGTTGTTGACTACACCAGAAAAGCGAGGGTATTAGTTGAGGAACCTACCATCGTCGACCGACCGTTGACGCTTGAGGAACAAAATCTCTATGTTCTTCGGGGGTGGACGCCACAACGATGGTAGGAACGGTAATTGGCAGCCTAAATGTCAATTATGTTCGGTGATTGGTCATACTGCGGTCACATGTCATCTCCGGTATGCCAAAGATCCCCAGGCTAACATCATTTATCAAGAATCTCCTTCGGATTCTCATGGGTCTCATACTTGGTTTCCAAACACGGGTGCAACCAATCATGCTACTCCGGACATAGCTGCTCTTTTGGTCTTGGAGGAGTACAACGATAATGACACGTTACGTGTCGGTGATGGTATGGGCTTACTTATTAGTCGTATTGGTCATGCTACTACTTTTAATACCCCTTCTAGATCTTTTCGATTATCCAATATCTTTCATGTTCCTAGTTTGTCTACATCTTTATTATTTGTCCATAAATTTGCGTCGGATAATAAGGTGTTTTTTGAGTTTCACCCATCTTTTTTTTTTTTTTTTTTGGTGAAGGATATCAACACCTAGGAAACTCTTCTACAGGGCAATAGCTTCGGGGGGCTTTACAAGCTTCCTGTTCCAAGTTCGTCTTCTACTGCGTTTCTCTCAACTCGTGCATCCGCATCAGTTTGGCATGATCATCTAAGTCATCCACACCAACGTGTTCTTAGTCAAATTCTTTCGTCTTGTTCAGTTAGTGGGTCAAAAAATATATATATTCGTTGTGTTTCAGGTCAATGTAATGCATGTCAGCTAGGGAAGTCTGCACGTTTTTCCTTACCGCTGTTGAGTCCTCTAGTTCATGTATTCTTGATTTAGTTTACACAAACATTTGGGGACCAGCTCCCATTCTTTCTTTAATGGATATCGTTACTTCGTTATATTTGTTGATGACTACTCTCGTTACACTTGGTATTTCCCTATGTCTCAGAATCTAATCTATATGCAATTTTTGACAAGTTTCGTCTTATGGTTGAGCGTTTGTTCAATCGTAAAATTAAATCCATACAGTCTGACCTAGGAGCTAAATATAAAAAGTTACATTCCACCTTGTTTCACCTAGGCATTATTCACAGACAATTTTGTGCATACACTCATGAACAAAATGGTCGTGTCGAAAGAAAGTATATACATCTTGTTGAAACAGGTTTAGCTCTCATGAGTAGTGCTTCTGTTCCCTCTAAGTATTGGGAGTATGCTTTTGAGACTGCGGTTTATTTAATTAACAGGATGCCATCTACTGTGTTAAATAACTCCAGTCCTCATCTTCTATTGCATAAATCTTCTCCGTCTTATTCTTTTCTTCGTGTCTTTGGTTGTCTATGCTATCCTTACTTGAGTCCCTATAATCGTCATAAAATGTCTTACAGGTCTTCCTCTTGTGTCTTTCTTGGTTATCCTGAGTCATTTAGGGGGTATAGGTGCATGGACCTTCAGACTAATAAGATATATGTATGCAGGCATGTTCGGTTTGATGAATGAGTGTTTCCTTTTAGTAAAAATGTTTTGCAGGCACCGATAGTTCAGACGATTCAGCCATGGGATGAATCTGTGATTGTTCCAATCCAGCCCACAGCTACGGTTCAGATTACTCAGCCTGAACTGGCCCCGGCTCTTGCTACCCAGCCGGAACCTGTCTGGGACGAGTCTGCTGCTCCCACCGAAGCAGCTGCTGTCGCCCGCCCGAAGGGGCGGTCTACGGTCCGAACGCACACCATGGCGACTCGGAGTCGTTCTAAGGCTCCCCTTTTGGCTCTCTCTGCTCAGGTTTTTCCTACTAAACCTACTTGTTATACACAGAAAGTCAAACATGATTAGTGGGGCAAAGCAATGGATGATGAGTTTAATGCTCTTCTTCATAATGAGACTTGGTGTCTCGTTCCATCACAGTCAGATATGAATGTTGTTGGGTGCAAATGGGTTTTTCGCAAAAAACGGAAAGTTGATGGATCAATTGAGCGATACAAAGCAAGGCTAGTAGCCAAAGGGTTTAATCGAATACCTAGATAGGATTTTTTCGACACATTCAGTCCAGTAGTCAAACCCACCACAGTCAGGTTACTTCTTCTATCTTTGGCTATATCTTCTTGATGGGTTGTTAAGCAGCTTGATGTACATAATGCTTTTTTGAATGGAAAATTGTCTGAAACTGTTTATATGATTGGAAAAGGTTTTGATATGAAGCAACCACCTGGATATATTGATAAGCAGTTTCCTAATCATGTTTGCCTGTTAAAACGTTCTCTATATGGATTAAAAAAAGCTCTTTGAGTTTGGTTTAATCGATTGCATTGCATGCGTTTTTTATGACAGTAGGATTTAAAGCTTCGAAAACAGATATGTATCTTTATGTTCTGGTGTATGTTTGATGATATTCTTGTAATGAGCAATGATCAAAATCTTGTCAGTACTTTACTGATAGCATTATCTTTCTTTCTTGGGATTGAAACTGTTAAATATGGTAATGGAATTTTGTTTTCTCAACAAAGATCGTGCTGGCATGACGAACTGTAAACCATTAACTACTCCTATATCTACTCCATTAACTACTCCTATATCTACTTTGAAAACCACTGTTTCTAACACCGATTTATATGATGATGCTACACAGTATAAGAATTTAGCTGGAGCTTTAGAGTATCTTACGGTTACTCGTCCAGATCTATTATTTGCAGTTAACCAACTCGGTCAACCAACGTCGAGAAAGGTATGAGTTTCAAACTTAACAGCCCAATTGTTTTATTAGTTGCCACGAGCGTACGCTACCTCTGCAGAAGCGATGTGGGATAATAAAAAGCTTCCTTAAAGACTATCATATCAACACGAAAAAAAAAATCTGTTATAATAAAACACTATTTACTGTCATCATCTTCACTATATCAAACAAAATGTACAGACTACAGAGTATCATATCTTTCTTTTACAACAAAAATTAACTAACTATGCAAGAATCAACAGAGTACAAGCAGGCAGTTCCCAGATGCTGATGCTTTTTTACTTGCTTCACTCTTGGGATTTCAGATTTTTTTTTTTTTTTTGGTTTTGGTTTTTTAGAGTTTCTCAATGTACAGGCTACAGAGTATCATTTAAGACAGTTCCTAAACAGCAAAGTAGAAAACAATGGTATTATCCAAAGAAGTGCAAAACCCAAATCACTTGATGAGCATGCAATGCGAACAAACAGAAAGTGATATCAAATTATGAAACAGTGCAAGTAATAGTAAATCAATAACTCACTGCAACAACTGCAAGCTGCTTTGCATTGAATCCAACCTTCAGGTAACCTCTTTAGAAGTTTTCATGCATTGATCCTTATTAACTCCAAAATGGTCCGTTCATAAATAAGCTAGTAGCTTTTTAAATTTTTTCATCTTTATCCTTATT